GCCCAGAGAAGCTGTGGCTGCTCCTCCCTGGAAGTGTTGAAGGCCAGGTTGGATGAGGCTTTGAGCAACCTGGTCTAGTGGAAGGTGTCCCTGCTGATGGCAGGGGGGTTGGGACTGGACGAGCTTTAAGGTCCCTTCCAACCCAAACCAGTCTGTGATGTTGGAAAACATCCTCTAAAAATGGGTTACTAATATGAAGTTTAAGACTTCAGTCAAGTGGTGATAAGGCTCAAGATTGTCTGCTCTCCAGTGTGGTGTTCTGTGAGTGCTGGGGCAGGAGTGCAGAGATGAGGTCTTTAGAAAAAAAAACTTGAAGGATGTTTTAGCAGCTTGGAAAAGCCACCAAGACTGAAAAGAGTGTTGATGATGTAGTAGAGGACAATGCCTTTGTCTTCAGCAAGGTGATTTAATTAGAGACACGATGGGTTTTGCTGAAAGTGCTATCCTCCTGCAAGTTAAGCAGAGACCCCAAAATACATGCCTAGTAATGTTCTCTGGGTTCTTCTTCCAGTAGTTTCACTCCCAAGTTCATTGTCTTTACCTTATTATACCACTAACCTCCCTTCTCTTTTTTTTCCTGTTTCTTGCTTTTATGTTTATTTTAACCTTTTATTCTTTCTCCTCCTGAACTGTTCCATAACATCTTTAGTGCTGTTTAAAAACACAACAATGTCCTTTCTTAGAGAAGGCAGCTCCAGTGGATGATGGAGTGATGGAGCAGATCAACCAGTCACTTCTGTGATTTACTCTGTGTGTGCAGACACGTGTTTACTATGAATGTCTGCAAATATACACATTGAGGAGGAAAAGCCCTGCTCCTAATGTGTGGTAAAGCTGATGGAAGTTTGTTATTTCAAGGGATAATAAAATCAAAATGCAGATGTAGGGATAACAACATCCTCTTCTGAAGTCAACCTGTCCTGTGTCTGCGCTGCTGATGGGATTAATTAAGACAGGATTACGCAGGGATATGAGGGGAATCTTCTTCTTGGAGTATATCTAGTATTTATTAATGCTTTTCATACTTAGGTCATGCATGGTCATTTTGGTCAGACACTGGCCCAGGTTGCCCAGAGAAGCTGTGGCTGCTCCTCCCTGGAAGTGTTGAAGGCCAGGTTGGATGAGGCTTTGAGCAACCTGGTCTAGTGGAAGGTGTCCCTGCTGATGGCAGGGGGGTTGGAACTGGATGAGCTTTAAGGTCCCTTCCAACCCAAACCATTCCATGATTCTATGTATCTGGTGCTGTGTGTGTGTCAGCTTTGGTTTTTAATGTGGTACCTTTTTTAAGGTTTTTATTCATAAACTAATGGTTTATGTCATGAATTAATTCTGTAGGTTTCATGAAAAGAGGAGTTTGGATCACGTAGCTGTAATTGGCACTGTTGCTTTTGCTGAGTACACACAGATTGCTTGGTCATTGTTATCACATCCACTAGCTGCAAATTAAAGAATTTATACTATGAGGTTCAAAAAAAAAAAATCACTTTTCACAATCTGTTTAATTGTCTTGGAAGTATATTTGGGAGTAAGTTCTGTTTCCTATTAAGAGTACAGCACAAGGTCTGTGGAACAGCCAGCTGGTGCTGGCCAGGAGCCTGAGAATTGTCATGATTCACATCTCTGTTCGTCTTCGTTCTCTGACACCAGGCAAAGGGAAGAGATAAGGGAAAAAAAGAACTTCCCAAAATGAAGCACATTTGAATTGCAGCCGTGACATGGAGAGAAGATGCCGCATGTGTCCAGCTGATCCCCAGGCAAGTCTTTTTGCCTTCTAAGATAAATGAGTGCATCAAGGGGCTAAACCTGAAAGCAAATGTGAATCGCTTCAGTTGAAGAAGGAGGTCTGAGAAGAAAGCACAGCCTGGATTTGGAAGCTGTAAGAAGCATTCAGCTGAGACCTTTCACAAAACGTGCTGACCATGGATACGGGTGTTTGGCCCAGCAAAAATTGCTGTGTCCATGCAACTTTGGAGAGCAGCAGACTTCTAAACATTTGGATCTCATAGTTCTAATGAAATAATGAAGCAAAGGGCTTTGGTTAGGCAACTTCCACCAACACTGAGTTTTCTGTTGTTAGACCTGTAGCTGTCTTTTAAAAGAACAGTGCCTTTTCTTTCCTACTCTCCCAACCAGCATGTCCATCAGAGCTCCTCTTCTCCTATCTAGCTTCAATAGCAACTGATGGCAAGCTACATACGTTCCTGGGCTACGTACATCTTTTTTGATTGCCTTTTCAAAGCACTGTCTGTAGATTTGGATTTATTGCCATTGCTGGGTATATCTGGCTCTACCAGTGACCTTTATATCTTGGTGTTTTGAATGTGAATGAGAGGGTTCTCATTTGTGGCCTGTGCTGGGTTTCTAATCAATGGGGATTTGATCTAGGAAAGCATTAGCCCTAGTGCCCATGGCAGGGCTGTGTCTTGAAACAATGAGAGAACGTATCTAAGCTCTTCCCCAAGCTAGTGGTAGCACTTCTATTCACTTTAATAGTACTGGAAAGGGTCCCAGTATGAATTACTCTTGCATTGGCTGGAAAACTTCTGCGGTAGCGGGAAATCCTGTTCCAGTCCCGTGGCCGTGCCTGCTGCGGGATGTGTGAGCGTGCCTGAGGAATGCACTTTGGGCAACGGGGTGTGGAATTGGAAATGCAGGGTGTGCAATTTGGGCGGTACCGTTTCAAGTGGCTGAATATCAACTGTTTGATGCTCTTGGCTGAGACCCAGGTGTGCCAACAGTGGTCAGAGTGCGGATCGTCTCTTCCTCCTGATGGATGCTGAGCCAAACAGAGCATTGCTGGATCTCCAGTCACAAAGGACTCAAATCAACCACTTGAGAATCACAGAATCATAGGGGTTGGAAGGGACCTCTGGAGATCACCTAGTCCAACCACGCTGCCAAAGCAGGTTCCCTACAGCAGGTTGCACAGGAAAGTGTCCAGGTGGGTTTTGAACGTCTCCAGAGATGGAGACTCCACCAACCTTTTGTTGTCTGGCTAAGGATGGGAGCAAGTGATCTAGGGTTTCTGGTTTTGCCTGAATGGATCTATTGTTTGGATGAGTTGGTGAAATTAAAAAAGGGATCCTTGCTGGTAGGAGCAAGCTTTGGATTTAGGGAGATGAAGAACCTATTAGTTTCGCCTGGTGAAGTCTCTGAAGTGAAAGCTCAGTAGTATTTTGAAATGAAACTCTTGCACGTTTCCTTGTAAGCCTGTGTCCCTCTGTTCCTTTCAAGACTTAAGACTGAAGTCCTGAAAAGGGCTGAGTCAGCAGCTAGCAGGAGCGTGCTTTAAATTACATGTTAATGTGGTGATGGAGAATCATCTTATGGCCTGAAGTACAGGATGGAGAGCCAGGAGACCTGGAGTATTTTCCTGGCTTCTCCACTGACTTTCTTCAATAGGTTTTTAATCTTCTGTCTTGGATTCTTTTGAATGGGGAGACCAAAATATATACTTTTAGGATTACATCATTATTAATAAGTCTGGAGGCTATTAAAGAAGGGATGCAAGGGGAGGAATGAGCCCTACAATAAAGGGAATAACCAGCACAAACCAAATGTCTTGCAAATCTAAGCCTGGATTTGTTCTAAGGGAGTTCTGCATGTTCAGCTTTCCTCAAGGCTTGAGGAGAAAACGTGTTCAAGTCACAGCAGCAGATGAGTGGGTTTTCTTAAATGTTTTCCTTATTAAATTGTGGTGTTGTGGCTTATACTGGTGCTGCTGTAAGGGTGTGAGTGCAGTTACCTCTGATGCTGTCCATGTTTGTTTCCTTAAATGCTGTTAAGTGAGTCTGTTGCTGAGTTGTTGGTGTTCTTCCTGAAGAACAGTGATAATTTGCTTTTATATTGGTGCAGGACAACTAATGTCTTGTAGCTAAAGGATTTCAGGAAGAGTCAGGAAAGAATAAAATCCAGGACTCAGGTGGCTGTTGTGCTGTGGAGCAAAAGAAGTGGTATAAAATTTTCTGTGCTGCTTTATCAGTCCTCTAGACTGGTCCTGTCTTACTGCTTGTCTTACCTCCCAATGAGAACTGACCCAGATGGTGTGGATGGATGTCTCTGCCAGAAGATGCTCGAGCCTCTCTGGTGTCATAACTCCCTGTTGTCCCTCCTGACCAGTTGTGATAGATGGAAAACCAGGAGGCCTCTTCAGCATTGCAGCGCTGGGTGGTTTCCCTGGACACTGCTGGGCACACTGGGCTCCTAAATTTTCCCTATTTTACCTGGTTTGCTGTTTCTTGTAGAAGTATGAAAATATGCCTGTGTTCAAATTCCAGTGGATTCTGCTTTTCCTGACATCCCGACTTAGTCTGAATAGTTTCTCTTAAGTACCTCAATAAACAAGACCTCTGGGCATGGCAGGTTTTATTTCTGGGACGATGCAAACACTATGAAAGCTTTGTCTCTTAATGTTTGAATGTGTAACTGGTTTGAAGCGGATGGTAATATGACCTGAAGGAAAAGTGAGCTGTGGTTGGTAGCACACACTGCAGCGTTGTCTCCTGAAGCATGTAGGATTGCTGCTCTTCTCATCTTATGGAGAATTCCTCTGGGGTTTTGCTTTTACAGGTGGAATGGGACTAGAAGGGAGATTTCTGAATGTTTTTTCCAGTACTTTCCCCTGGACTCTTGAGGAGCCCCTCCTAATTTCTGTGGGCTCCTGACAAGGATGAGATACGATGCTCTGTGACCTGAGCACAAAATGTGTGTCCCGAGTCATTTTCCTTAGTGAAGGTTCAGGATTGTGTTCATACAGGCTTGTTAAAATCCCTTTTTGCTGGTCAAACTTCACTCTGTGAAGCAGGGGGCTCTCAGGTCACCTTATCCTCCCTCACCAGGCTTTCTTCAGTTCTATGGTAAATGGGGTTTTTTTCTTAGTCTCGTGTGACTCCAAAAGTTTCTCTTCTTTTGGGGAACAAAATCAAACACACCTGCAGGTGCCTTTTGGAGTTTTGGGGCTCCTGGGGTGTCTGACTCAACAAGACTTTTCCAAGAATGAAAATTACACCTATTGTACTTACTATCATCTAAATTAATATCTCCCTGACTAATCTTGGTATCAATTAAAGTAACCTGGAAGTCTCTTGTGACTCTCCCTCCAGCTGCTCATGGACCATGAGGTCTCCCAGTGCTGTGATTTTTTTTTTTTTTAAAGGCTCTGGCATCTTGCAGTGCTCTGTCTGCTTTATTAATTAACACTTGAGGGAGTATTGCTCTCAGCTGGTAACTATTACATCCTGCCTCTGAACGGTTTCCCCAAATTGTTGTGTCTTTTGGCTGAAATCCTTCAGTAAAATGACTCAAGAGCTTTGGTTTGAATAGAAAGCAGTTCTGGAAACTAGAGTTGCACAGTTTTTAGCTATTCCTTGACCTCTGATGATGAAAGACCCCTATTAACCCAAGTGCAGAGCTGACCACTGGTCATTGTGTGCCTTGGTGCAAGAGGAACGAGAGAAACGTGCTGACCTGCTGGTTATGCACTGTTTGTTGATCCTTTTCTCCACTAAAATATTCTTGTTTAGTTTAATATTGAGCTTTCTGTATCGTAAAATTAAAACTGTAACCTAGAGGGGAATTTGGCATCTTCTGTTAATTACACTGATGTGTCTTCTTATCTCTTGGAAGCTAAAGGTCCTTCAAGACTTGACTGTAAGGCTACTCACCACACATTATCTGCCTTTGCCTTCTCAAATATTCTTCATGTGACTGCCTGCTACACAGCAAGACCATCCAGATGTTCCAGAAGGTCCAAGCAACATATAAACAGAGCACTGTGTTCTTGTGCGTGTGGGACAGTGATGAGAAAGCTGTAATGACTTCTTGGGAACCCAACTGTGTGGCTTTCAGCTAAGTCAGGGCCCTGTGACTCCTTATCTTAGTTTTGCAAGACAGATTGTTTCAGTCCAACTTAGTATTTGATTAATATTTGCTGAGGCTTTTAAAATCTAATTTATGCAGTCGCAGGAAACAACAGCCACATAAAATGAAATGGGTCAAAACAGATGTTTAAAGAAGATTAAAACTGAAAACATGATTTTTCTGAAGACTCCTAGGCTTGAATTTAGACACCTCCCCTTTGGTATTTTTACTTATAACCAACATACATTATTCTTCTCTGGTATGATCTGGGGTTACTCTATATTTATTTATTTATTTTTTAAATACTGTTGATGACAGTTGCTCTGCCCACGTATTTATCCTCTGGGCTAAAAACCCATCTTGTATCCATGAAAAACATTGTAAGAGGTTTCTTTTTGAAACCAGTGCTCGTAGGTATTGAAGTCGGGCATGTCTGACTAGTACTAATGAGCTTTGACTCAGGAGCCTTTTATTTTTTACAGAACACATGTAACTTGCCCTGTCGACTGCATTTGTTTTGGGAAATCCCTTTGTTTGCTGCTGGAGGGGAGCAGCTTTGTGAAAGCAGTTGTACTTCCTTCCTCTCCTCCCCTCCAACACTCTCTGACACGAGGGAGGACTTTTTTATTCCTCTCTTTCAGCCTCACCTCCTGACCTGCAAAAGAAATTGAAAAATATCTTGTTTGCATAGCAGTATTTCTCTGAATGCCTGATGAAAATCTGTAAATCTCAGTCTTGTGAAACTGATGTGAAAGTACGTGGCTCCTTGAAAGAAAATATTTACTATCCAAGAATTTTTGCCACATATTCCCCTGATTTAGTTAGACCTGTTGTAAAGTCTCCCCATGCTTTTCCTGTTTGTCCATCTTTTAACCCACATGCTTTCTATTTCATTTGTCTATTCCTTAGGCAAATACCTTTCACCCCCAGTCCCCAAATCTCAAAGCACTTCAGTAGGAAGCTCACGATCATCAGCCCTGTTTAATACAAGGGGAAACTGAGGCACAGCCCTGGGAGTGACCTGCCTGAGGTCCCACAACATCAGAGCTGAGGTTTGAACTGTTGTCTCTTGAAATTCAGGCTAGTTGCCTGGGATTTCTGATGCATCATCTTATTAGGCAGCTCAAAAGGCTGGTTAATGTGTTTCACTGTGTTTTCATGTGTATATGTGATTTTTCTGGTCATTTTTGGGGATAACTAAGACCTAGCAAAAAATACTGGAGGATTTTAGTTTCTAGACATCTGTTTTTGGAGCCAAGTCTTTCCCCTTTTTCTGTCCCCTTTGGTGGTTGCCAGGAAATAATGGAGCTTTAAAGGGCTGGGGAGTTTTTTTTCCCACTATACTCTGGCATTGCTTCACTTGGAAACTATTCAATCATCAACCCCCACGTGTGCTGCTTGACCACTCCATGTGCTGGGTGCCTGAAGGAAAGCTGGGGAGTACTTGAGTGGGAAACAGGCAGAGAAGGGGCAGGATTTAAAGTCTTCATGAAATTCCTCTAATGAGTCAAAAAGTTGCGAGTTCATACTTTAAATGACTAACTTATTTAAGGATGAGAGGTTGCCCAAGGAAGTTGTGGCTGCTCCTCCCTGGAAGTGTTGAAGGCCAGGTTGGATGAGGCTTTGAGCAACCTGGTCTAGTGGAAGGTGTCCCTGCTGCTGGCAGGGGGGTTGGGACTGGATGAGCTTTAAAGTCCCTTCCAATCCAAACCATTCTATGAAGCAGTTGTATGACAATTAAGTCCCTGTCCAGGCTTGACAACCAAAAACTGGACCCTGTTAGCAGTGGTCTGTTGGAATGACACAGTTACCTAAATCTCCTGCAAACTGTCTGTGCACAGTGATGTCTGTTGATTCTCTACAGGTGAAACTGGGTGTGCAGTGACAAAAAAATAAGCATTTTATCATCATATTGGGAAAACAGACTTCAATTTAAATACCTCACTTCTGACCATATTATAATACATTTTATTACCCTTCTAGTTTTCTGCTGTTTAAGTGATTTTTTTGGGGCTTCTTTATTGAAGGAGGTAGGGGAGAAAAATAATTCAGTTCTGTCCAGGATTTGAACCAAGGTTGGCTGTAGCTTGCTAGAGTCACTAAACTACTGGATTTACAGAGAAGTAGGAAAATCAATTGCTAGCACTTGTGACTTGTAGAATTTTGCTCTGGAAAAAAAAAAATATATATTTTCCAGCTAATACTATTTATCAAAGTGTCTTAAACTTAGAAATGGTTTTCATGTCTCGTTTTGGGGTTTTGTTTTGGTTTTTTTCAGTTTGTTTTTCCACCCCATAAGAAATAATATACTTGAGTTTTTACAGGCATCATTGTATGTAGTCTCTTCCATGGCTTTATCCCGTGCTGAAGCAAGAGATGACAAAGTCCATGTCATTACCAAGCTTTAATTTAAATTTTCCTTTCCTTTCAGGACAGCCACACGGTACCTACCTGCACTGATTGGCAGCTGCTAGCAGAGGACTTGGCTCTGAGAACTGTGAGCACTGAAAATGGCAAGATTCCTGGGTTTAACCCATAACCACTGTTTCTTCATGCTGTTCTTCATCTCCCTGAGCCCCCTGGGCCTTGCCCAGTATGAAGACTGGTCCTACCTCCCTGGTTACCCTGAGCCACCCCCACAAGTGTACCAACCTCCTCGAAGACCCACAAATGTCCCCAAGATCCAGCTGAGGCTCGCAGGGCAGAAGAGAAAACACAACGAAGGCAGAGTGGAGGTGTTCTACAGCGGCGAGTGGGGCACGGTGTGTGACGATGACTTCTCCATCCACGCTGCACACGTGGTCTGCAGGGAGCTGGGCTACGTGGAGGCAGTGTCTTGGTTACCAAGCTCAAAGTATGGAAAAGGAGAAGGTAAGGTAACTCCAGAGCAGTGGTGTCGTACTAGTTGTCTCTCCAACTCCCAATAATTTTTGACCTGTCATTCAGATCTAAGATGCAGTGATGTTTCCTATGAATGTAACTGGAAGAGCTTCCAGGTGAAGCAGTGCCTCTTTAATCACAGAATCTCCAAATTACCTTAATTGGGGAAAAAACCTTTAAGCTCATTGAGTCCAACCATGAACCCAACACTGACAAGTCCCCGACTAACCCATGTCCCTCAGCACTATGTCTATCTGACTCTTCAATCCCTCCAGGGATGGGGACTCCACCACTGCCCTGGGCAACCCCTTCCAATTCCTCAGAACCCTTTCAGCAAAGAAATTCTTTGATTGAAGAGTTTAAATAATAAATATTTGCTTGTTTTGACTGAAACAAGTTAAGGAGTGATGAGATAAAGAGCTGAAGGACCAGATCATGGTGTATGAACTCTGTCAGGTGATGCTTGGGAGCAGCTGGCAGTGGATGAGGGTAGGAGGCTTTTCAGCAGGCAGCACGAAGAGTCAAAAGAGAAGCTGCACCCACAAATGTAATATATAAATGGTTCATTTCCCCATTCACGCTTCCATTGCCTTGCAGTGGGTCTACCAGG